AAAAACAACTCTGGGTAAACATCCAGATCACCGTCCCACCTCTCATGAGAACTGACACAATCAGCAATGATCCTGAAAACCATCTTTTTTTATAGTTATTCTTTCTTCCACCGCAGAGCCACAGTTTATTTTAGCTGGCGAGGCGGACGGCGTGAGGCACAGAGTCAGTCGTCTTGTGGTGAACTTTAACCCAGTGTTTAGACGTGACTGCCTTTGGCCACTGGTCATTACGGCACCGTGCAGGCCCCTCGGTACACTGGTGTCAAAACACTGTGCTTGGCAGGGACAACAGAATGTGACAGGAGGAAATATGCGTTTCAACTTGTAGATTTCATGTAAAAGTCCCTAACTGGCTGTGACCGACAGGCTGTCTGTGTAGTTTTTACCATTTGGCAATGTGTCATAGCGAGGACCAAGGACTTGGTGTTTGAGCTGCAGCGTGTCAGTGTGAAGGACGTCCGGGGTCTGGTGTGTGGTTAATGGGCTCCCCCTACTGTCTCCTCACACCCCTGTGTGACATCTGCGCCCACCGACTTTGCGTCACTGCTAAACATCTCACCTTACGGGCTAACTTGCAATCCACGCTGAAGCACAAGTGGATGTGATTCAGATGAATATTTTCGGTCATGTCTTTGTTTCCGTGCGCGCACTTCCACGTGAGCCACTTAGACACCCGTCCTTCCTGTCTCCCTGCCTCCCTCCCGATCTATAAATACTCTCTCACCAGCAGAGCCGTGGCCGCGAGAGGCGTCGACCTCGGCCTCTCTCCGTCCAGCAGAGCGGTGATTTATGGGGGGCTCAGACCGGCGCTAACCTTGCACTTGGGCCCTGGCAGTATAAAAGATGGCAGGTCAGTGGCACTGTGGATGGTGGGGAGGGACTCTTTCTCCACCTCTGTCTCTCTCTCTCTCTCTTCTCTCTGTCCTGTTATCATCAGCTTGATGGAGACATCATCATCATCATCATCATCTCCCGGGAGTATAAATAGTGCTGGATCAGGTGACAGTGCCGGCCGGCCCTGGCCTTTGATGGGAGCTTTAATTTCATGCCTAATTTCTCCCGGCACAGAAAGGATCGATGCTGCCCTGCACGTGCTCCCCATCCCTCTGCTGCAGAGAGAGAGGAAGGACAAATGTTCACCGCTGAGTGATGTGCATGCGCCAAGACGTTTAGCTTACCTGTAAACACACATACGTGCGGACATCCTTTCGCGGGGTGCAAACACATTGACAAATAAAGGCCAAGTCAAGGCACACAAGCAGAGCTCCATTCCTGCAGTCGCTGACGACTCAGACGATCAATACGGCGGGAACGGATAGCTTAGGAAATAAAGGGCAACAAGCGAAATATAACTGCACGGCCACCCACCTGTGTGTCCTGTGTGTTACACATTGCTACGGTGATAAATTTAAGCCCTCTGTCCCGGCTCGCAGCCCCAGGGAGGCATTGAACTCTAGCCCCTCCATAATGACTTTGTCTACCTATCGATCCGGCTATGATCCATGTACTGTAATTCTTATATCATCAGCCCCAGCCACAGCAATAACTCCAAGTCATATTTCGGGGGACCTCCCGTCCACTTGACAACTTAATGATGTAGGGGTCCTTGCAGAGTTTGGATTTTACCACCCTTTCGCCTCCTCTCTTGTCCTTTCTTCCCGCAGGGCTCTAATTTCTCCTTGTTCTTTCCAACTAATATCAGCAAAGGCACAGAGAGGCTGTCCTCTCATTGGACTTCTTTCCCGCAGTATAGCACAGCGTTGGTGTCGGGGATTTTTGTGCATCTGTCTCTGATTTGGAGCACAGCCCCTGCAGGCTGCCGGGGAGACGCAGCCGTCCCTCTTTAGACCCTGTTCTTTTTCTCCCTTTGAGGCAGGGCTATATTTCATTGTCATTTCAACCCTCTCTACCTAGCCTAGATGTAATAGCGGGAGATATATTGCCCTCGCTTCTGTAGTCTTCGCAGCTTCCTCAGCCTTTTATAAAACACTGTCAGAGTGACAAAACAGTAGCCCTTGGGTATTCGGGCACAGATGCCCTCTCATCCTGAGGAGATTTCTCAATATCCTGCGCTGATCCTTTTAGCAAAGAGATAACATCTGGGTCCTTGGATGGAACAGTCCTCCTGGAGGACAGGGTTGTAGCTCATCTCTATAAGCCATCGGCTGTCTGTCAGCTCTGTTTTTATAAGAGCTGATTTAGGGAGCAGCCCTTGAGTCCCGGGCCGATAGAGAACCAGTGGAGCGTGCAGGACCTTCACAACACGCCCGATACCGCTAATCAAGAAAAGCCTATACCTGTCGAAAACACGCGTAAAGAGAGAAAAAGAAAGCGGTTTAGTTCACTGCTGCCGCCGTTTGAATGGCGCTATTGGTGTTCCACCGGGCCGCAGAGACACCTGATAACCCTATGAGCCTCTGAGACATGGCCCTGATTGAGATGTGAGTAAGAGTAAGAGAGGGGGGGGGGGGGGGCAGATGAGCTCTGCAGACAATTAAAGCTGCTTCTTCTGATGTGGTGCCTCCACTTTGTTCCTGTCACTCCTGCCTCATCCTGAGGGACATCCATCCTCTTCACATGCCGGTGCATCCACCTCCCCCGGCCCCTTCCTGTCCTCACACTGCTACTCCTTCCTCCTCTACTTCTCGGTCTCTCCTTCTCGCGCCATCCTCAGCACAACTCTTCTTTAATTTTTAATTTTTTTGTTTTGTTCCAAACAAGCTGCATTTCCCCTCTCCGTGGGCTGCACATCTCTCTCCCTCCTCCTCCTCCTCCTCCTCCTCCTCCCCACCACCCCACCCTTCCCTCCCAGCCTTAATTGGGAGTCAGGGAGAGCAGTGGAAATCGCATTAACGCGAGCCCTGCCTGGGTGTGCCATCCATCTTCTTTTTTATTACGCCGCGCCGGGGCTGCCTGGGCGCTGCCGTTCGATTTGTCACCGGCCTCGTTCGCTGATAACAGGCATTTGTCATCGCCTTGCCTCCCTGTTAATGTTATCATCTCCTCCCTGACAGCCGCCCTCCGCCGGGGAGCGCCGGCGACAAAGCACATCCGTCAAGCGAATATTTCCACGGCTAAGGGGACCGCACACTGCAATAAGCCACATTAAAGCACTTATGAAGGGTGCAGGCCGAGAACGTGCGTGCGCGCGCGGCCTACGTGTGCGTGTACGTGCGTGTGCGTGCGTGTGTGTGTGTGTAGGCACCGGTGCCACGGATGCGCGCGCGCAGGAGCGTCCGGCGCGCTTGTCAGTGCCATAAAAGGGGCGAGGTGGGGGCCGACGGGGGGAGGAAGAGGTAATTTGTTGCAATTAATTACGCAGTGAGTGTGGCTTTGTTGTGTGGGAGAGCATTTCATCTGTTGGAATGCTTCCTTCGCCAGACTGTGATGCTATTTGTTTGATTTATAGCCTCTGCCTGCCCAAGGCGGTGGGCCTGTGCGTGTGTTCTGGTGCGTGCGCGTGTGTGTGTGTGTGTGTTTTCACATGTGCACGGTGGCATTATCCACAGAAATGTACTGTAGTCTCAGTGACAAGGAGCCCTTTGTTTGGGAGTGACGTTACATATGAACAGCCGCACGGCCCCCGTTTGTCCTCTCAGGACTGGAACTCTGCTTTCCATTTGTCATTCAGCAGCAAATCAAATACTCCAAAGGTTGACTCTCAATCACCCAGCTCGTCTCACCTCCCCCACCTCTTCCTTTCTGAGACAGCGAGCCGCGTCTAAAAGTGCTGTGGCGCTGGACCGAGGCTAGCCAGATGTGAATGCTGCTGTTTCACAAACCGGGGCCTGGTCGGCCCTCTCTCTCCTCTTCCCCTGTGTGATACGGGGACGGGCGGGGAACATGACAACGTGTATCCATTCTGCCACAGTCGGGGGTTTGCGTGGCCCTATTGCAGAGGCTGACAGATGGATCATTCAGCCTAAAGGCAGTGAGAAGGGATGAGAGAGAGAGAGAGAGAAGAGCACAACCTCACATCCTTCGATAGGCTGGATGACTCCCGGATTCCATACACCACTTTACATGCTATGGCACATTTGCAGAGACACATTTGAGAAGGCGGCTGTTTCACAGAGCCTGTAAAGTTGATGAAAACTTGAAAAAGTCAGATTCTTTGAGAAAAATGAGGATGAATTCATTGACTTTTGTAATCGTGTAAATAGGATGAACACGGACAATTTAGCATCTAGTTTTGACTTGACTGGACTAGAGTATTGACTTTTAAATCAAAAGTAAATGAAGGAAATACAATTTCACAACAAGGTAATTTCAGGAACTTTTGTTCAAATCATATGATCTTCAAATTTTGCTCAGTTGTCATGGATTTGCATGAGTTTAAACATTTACGTGTTACGTGTACAATCTACATTCCTATAACAAGCAGGCAAACTTCATCTGCTGATGAAGATGATTCAGTACGACTGGAAGCTCCAGATCGACCATCAAGAGAGATTCCTCCGTGGTCAAGAATGAAGAAAGGACTTGAAAACAATGTGTTGATCACTAGTTCTAACGTACTAACCCATGATACGGGCTGTGGTTTTAGTTCATATTTGCCTTTTGCAATTAAACCCTTTCTGCGTTTCTTCGGCATCTCTTCCTATAATAATCTCTTCCGTGTTGGGTATGATTTAAGTTTTGCTTCCATGACTCACGTCTTATTTATGTATTTGATTAATGATTTGTATTTCTGCTGTAATTGCAAACATTTAAAAAACATATTTATGGATGTTTGTGGTGAAATACAATAACGGCAATGATTTTTCCCTCTATTGTTATCTCCTCTGTATGGAGGCAACTTGCAGCTGTTTTTTGTCACAACAACTGAATGAATGTGAAGTCGGCCGAGGTCCCAAAATGAAACAGAGTATGTTGGTGGCTCACAGGAGCTGCTCCTTTTGGCACATGGGGGTAAAATTAGTTAGTTTGAATCTGTTTTGTGGGGCTTTGTTGCTCTTATTTCTGTGTTTGATTATAAGGCTAAATCAACAAAACTTTTAGAATGTTCCTGCACACATCTTCATTTTATTTTCCACCATATTTTATGCAAAGAGGGGTTGTCAAAGGGCGGTAAAAAAAAGGAAATGAATGAACAAACATCTACCTTTTTGTCATATATTGATAAATTATAGCTTTTCAACAAGCCACAACATCAAACTCTTTTAGAATAGACACAAAATCCCACAGTGAACAAAAGCAACTTCTTCAGCTGAACACTGTGAACATACGTGTAGTTATTATGATTCATATGATGAAATGTATTTTTCCTTCAGTTCACTGATGAAAGCTCTGCCTCCGAGGTGTTATTGCTGCATCACTGAATAAACATAGTCTTTATTCAGCAACAGGAGACAGTACGGACCACCTATGAACAATACAGTGATCATGGGATGCGTTTCAACAAAGTGGAGCTAATGTGGGGATTAAAACATCCGCCAGCTGTCAGAGAAACCAAGTCAGCTCCCGTAAAAATGCTTTAAGATGCAGAGAAACAAGATTAAAACGTCTCTGATGGTTGATTTGAAACGCACAACCGCATGACTCCTGCCTTACATAAAGCGCAGGAGCTCCTCTTTGCCTGGTGATTAATGGTTAAAACAGGGAGTTTTTTAAATGTAGAAAGTGTTTGCAGGCGACGGTCCCTGTGGTTTTCACACAAAGCAGCAGATCTCCTTGTTGGCCCAAAACTTTTATCCCCGCTACGCTCACTTCAGTCATTACGAGCCAAAAGAAGTCCAACCGAGAGAAGAGACCATCATTTACATGCGTGTCCACCACGTCATTTCCCCCCCCGTCGGGTTATTCAACTAGAGTTCCATAGCCGTTCATCATTGCCATTTTGAGATGAGCATTGGAGGTCAACTCTTCTTCCGGGATGTTGTTCTTGGCCGCGAACATCTGGCTGATCTCCATAAAGGTTTTGTTCTTGGTCTCGGGAATAACAAAGATGGTGTAGACGGCCACTCCCAAACAGATCACGCAGAAGATCAGATAACAGTAAGGACCTGTAGCATTCTGTGGGGAGGGAGGACACACAGAGGCATCAGAGGTCAAGATGTTTTCGGTCAACAAAAAGGACGTTTAGACAGAAAGTCAACAGGGAAGACAATAAAAGCAGATAAATGTCTGCATGTAATCTACCTGCTGCCGCTCGAAAACATTTCGAAGAGCTGAAACTGAACCCAAACTGTAAAGTTTCCCCCATGCTTTGTTTGGGGAAACTTCCGCTTATCACAAATGTGTATTTGAGTATGCGCTGACCTCTAGGAAGGGAAAGACGAAGCCGATGGTGAAGTTGGACAGCCAGTTGAGGCATCCGGCCACAGTGTAGGCCGCCGGTCGGTGGGACTGCTTGAAAAGCTCTGCAGTGATCAGGAAGGGCACGCCGCCTACACAGAAGACACAACGAACATACGCTCGTAACGTTTTAAAGGACACACGGCTCCTACTTTGGTCAGATCTACCGAGGCATCCTATAAAGCTGTCATGGTACAAATCACAGTCACCATCGCGTGTTTATCAATTTATTAACACCAGCATCTTCATGAATCAACTCATCAACGCTCCCTCTCCCGCCGGGTTATTCTCTAGCAGTCGTTCAGCAGAAACAGAACAATGATACAACAAAATATTAAACATTTCTCAAGCCCCGTTTGCTATTATATTACTCTGATGTTTCTGCATGCACTTCTTTACGTGTTCTTTATCACTGAGTGATCTCAGATTGACAAGAGAGGAGGTTGTTTGTCAACTTGGCAAAAGTTCAACTCGCGTGGAAAGTGGAAGATGGAAGATGGAAGATGGAAGATGGAAGACGGAAGGGCTTAGCCAGGACGTGAGCACGTCATTAGGTTGACACGCAGCATCCGCGAGATGTTGTCCAGGCTTTAAAAACATTATTCTTCATTGTTAGAAATGAAAGCTATGAAGGAGAAATATGCATTAGTGAAAGGTTTAATGATGAGCCCTACGAATTATGTCCTCATTATATGTTCACGATAATTGCAGAGAGGAAGGTTTAATATCGTCAAACCAATAACGAGGCCGTAATTTGTCAACATCCGTGGTACGTGTGTGTGTGTGGGGGGGGGCGTCATCGTGCATGTGAGGTTTTGCCTGAAAGAGACCACTAGCTTATGAACAATGAGCCATTAAAAGTCTAATTGCAGCTACAGAACTACTTGTCCGCATGCCGAGGAATAAATTCCTGCCGTCTTGAGGAATTGCGCCACGTAAACCGAATTCATTCTAATTCATCATCCTCACAGGTCCACTCAACGCGGCTCCCAAAGTTTTAAACTATTGCCTCTTAATTCACTCAACTCATCCTGTGCACAAATAGCTGTGGGATAGAATGTAGTGTGGCAGTTATGATTTCCTAATTTACAAGACTAATGAAATACAATATCTCTTCCCAGGCAGGGGAGGCGGCGCTGCCTGCTATGGAACCTGCTTCCAGCAGGGAGCACTGTTATCTTTCACACGAGAGCGGCACGAATCTTCGTGCAGTTTGGACGGACCAGCCGTGTTCTTGTTTTTGAATCAAATGAGATGCAGGTAGGGTTTCTGACGTGTTTACCTGGACCTATGCAGAAACCAGCAATAATCCCCACAACGCAGCCCACGCTGATGTAGCGCATGAAGGGGAGCTCCGCCTGTGATTGGTTGAACACAAGTCATCAGTCTGAGGCCTTGAGTTGTAAACATATAGACACAGTACACAGGGCACAGTTATTTATAATTTATTTGACTATAACGAATATTTCAGATTTGATGTAACTTGCTGTGTGCATAGAAGGAAACAGTGATTTCAGTGTGAGTGAGGCGACAAAACCGCCTTAACGGGACAATATACGGTATTCCCTGTTTGAACTATTTCAGTGGATATAAAACAAATGTTACAAACACAAAAGCTTCAGACAAACTTTTGAATCTTTTCTTTGCAGAGGACTGTAGCTTTTGTTTTACTCCGCTTGTATTGCGGGAGAGGATTACAGCCAATAAAACCCTTTTCAGTGTTTGTACAGTATTGGCACCTTTTCCCATATAAAAAAAGGTAAATTAGATGCAGTTGTTTAGTTAGTATAAATATAAATGTGTTAATGTCTTATTTATTCCTGATGAGTGGGGCATCCGGTGAAGCTCTACCTGGAGGATGACGGACACCGTGATGCCAGAACAGCAGAGACCCATGAAGAGGAAGCCGCCAATCATCAGAGGTCTTCTGCCCAGACGCTCAATAGTGAAACACTGCACAACAGAGGCAAAATGATCGAGAAGAAAGAAACTGGTGAAACTTTTTATCCTTTGATCATTCATTTCAGCAAGGTGCAATATGTGGGATGTGAAAACATGTCTAAAACCTCTTCTATAGATACAGTACAACTATGTTTTTTACCCCATTTTCTAATCAGTCTGTTAATGACCCATTGATTGAGCAAGTCTATGAAAATGCTCATGACAAGCTCACGAGCCAACAGTTAGTGATGTCTAATGACTCGTTTGTCACATCAAAACCAAAATACAATTCAAAATGCAGGATAAAATAACAAATAAACACGTTGGATCCAACAAACAATCAACTGCATAAGCACCACGTGAAATATAACCATATAAAATAATAGCAATTTATTATATTTTGTATAAGTGTGAAAAGTCCACTCACCCCCAGCATCCCAGAGATGACCTCAATGGCACCGGTACCCACAGTTGTATACTGAATATGTGGTTCTGGGATTCCTGCGTTCTTAAAAATGTCATTTGTATAGAACCAGATCTGAAATTGAAAATGTTAAATCCATCATTATTACATGTTGCACCACAGACACACACACAGACACAGAGATGCTTTGAAAGTGAAAGTTCGGCGGGTTTTTCTTTCAGGAGCAAAAAGTCGCCGTGTTTATTTGGCGTTTCCTCGTGATTCATCATGGTGATCATTATCATCACGCTGACCATCACTCATGCATTTGAGATACAGCGTTTCATCAGTAGGAACTTCTGACAAGTGCTCCCCTTGAAATTAATTTGTGTTTTCTCATTAATCACACTTTGCTGATGCAACATCCATCATTGATGAGGTGTGGACAAGATGGTGATGTGTGCGCTTGAGAGCTGTCTTGCTGATTTAGTAACCATACATGCGTGCTACTTCATCACCATTGCAGAACTGATGTACACACATACCTAGCAGAAAACATACACAAACAGTTGGACCAATAATTGAGACCATTAATATGCTTTTAAAAACATGAATTGTCTTAAAAAATGACAAACTAATGGGTGGGAATTCCGCCTCGAATCAACTTCACATTTAATGGAACTTTTATTGAAATCATAACCTACCTATTTTTTGAAGGTGTAATGTGTGTCGAAATATTGTTCTCAATCAAATATTGACACATCACATTCTACACCCAAAGCAACAAACATTGGTTTGGTACAGACAAGAAATATGACTATAACCATTCTAATATATTTTTCAATGGAAAATAACAATCATAACATCTCGTACTGCACACAGACACACTGATTTACTCTCATATTAGACACGTGAATCTAAACTAGAACATTTACATCTATGCAGGACTAAATCATCTCTTTTTCTTCCATTAGTCTTCTTCATCCATCCATCCAGTCATAAGCAGTGAGCATGGCAGCATATTTCCCTCTGAGACCTCCTCCAGCTCATCCAGGCTAAACCCTAGCTGCTCCTGGACCAGCTGACTGATGTAGTCCCTCTGGTGCATGTGTACAACAATGTCTTCTGACACCTTGAGGGCACTCTGCACCTGTCTGAACCATCGAATCCCTTAAACTCTGGGATTTTCCTGGTTCGCTTAGTTTCTCGCCCCGTTTGAATTTTAGCGGTGTCACGCTGTAACTTCTTCAGGTCACCACCTCAGTGATGGGCAGAATGAAATTGAGAATTCTCCTTTGTGCGTCCGATATCTATTTGTAACGATGACGTGGCAGTTAGCACCACTTTTACCTTTGCATGCAGTCCTCGAGGTCCTTTACATACCACCAGCTTCCCATGTTCTGCCTACAGTTAACCAGACAACTTGTGCCAGGGAGAAGACCTGGATGACCACAATCAAGTACTAGAGTCCACGAATGGACGACTTCAAATCCAAAAGGGAAGAAATACAGTAGCTCTTTAATTAAAAGTTTTAAGTAAGAAGTACAATATGTTGCCCTCAACGTTTTAAATATTGCTTGGCGTGATTCTTTTTCTGAAGATAATTATAAATCATCAAACAAAATGACAAGGGGAACATCAAGTTTTTGGTATAGCATAAAATATTCCGCTCTCCGCCTGGATGTCTTCTTGTGTTTGTGGGACAGTGGGCTGCTCCCCGCTGGGGGAATGGTACCAGCATGTGGGCCAGAGCTCCCGTCCACATGGAGAAATGAGTGTAAAGATGTGTCTGACTGTGTGTGTGCATGGGGGGACCTTTTCATGTGGGGTAGCACCGACCGAGAGGACCAGGAGATAATGAGGCGTGGTCCTGCTGCCCCCCCCCCCCCACCCCTGCACAGTCACTCAGTGGCTGCATGTGGGCCTGGGATGTATGGAAAGGAAGCGGTGCAGATGGGTGGAGCACAGCTTGGAACTGTAGCAATATCAGTTTCCACTCTCGTGATAACTGCGCAGTACTCGCACAACTCAAACAAAGGCAGAAAGCACAACACACACTCACCGCATCGATGCCGGACAGCTGCATGCCGATGTTGACTACCACGATGGTGATGACCTGCCAACGGACGCAGCGGTCCCTGAGCAGGCCCCAAACGGAGACGGTCTGGACGGAGGACAGGGACCGCTGTTCCTCCTGCATCTCATCAACCTCCGCCTGGAAGTTTCCTTTTGGACGGTACCACTTCAGGGCTGAAAGGGCAGAAAGAAAAGCTATGACTACTCCACAAAAACTTAAATGATATAACTATCCATATAATTAAATATATCGAGCTGATTAGTTAAAGGAAAAACCTGAAATGGTGGCAGGAATATTTCCCTTCTCTATCAACAGGTAACGTGGACTCTCTGGAAACCATGGCAACAGCATCAGCTGGACGATTGTGGGAAACACCACCAGGGAAAGGAGCAGAGGCCAGTACTCTTCCTGTGTGAAAACAAAACATAACACATTGATAATCATGCTCTGATCTGAAAGTATGTCCTGTTGAAATGATGTAAACGTGAGACCGGAGGAAGCAAAGGGCAATCGGAACTGGGAGATCCACTTTTACCAGATGAGGACATAATCTATTCCGGCGTAAAACTTATTTGGAAATGTAAAATGGTTTAAAAATTACACTGGTTTATTTAAAATATACTTTTAATCTCAGTCTGTGAGGAAAAATAACTGGCATCTGATGCAGGTTTTTGATGCAAAATCAGGAGAGTAAAAAATGGATGAACGTTTCAGTCGAGAGCGCATCAAACCAGCCGCCAACAAAACACAGCAACAATCTGAGTAGCGCTTCGACACCACGATGTTCATACCTTTCCCAGCAGCTCGGAGAGTCCCAGAACCTGAGCAATGAAGACGCCAACACAGATGTGAATGCTGGGAACGAGGCTCAGGAAGCCTCGCAGGTTCTTGGGGGCTATTTCACCGAGGTACATCGGCACCACACTGAGAGAGATACCTGGGGGGAAACCGAAGTGATTATCGTGGGATACACCTGCAGATGTAACATATGACTGTTTTCAAATGTGCTCAATAATTATTCTAGACCAAATTTTTGGACGTTTGCCAGGACAATTAACTTTTCTTGTTTTTCAATTTACAATAAATACCTGTCACCAACTTGATAATGTTGGTGGACTGTAAAAGACGCAAATATGTACATTTGCCCTTTTTTAAAAAATAAAATAAAATATGAGAGGAAGTTTAGATGGATTGGAGGGAAAAAATGCTGATTATACCAGTCTACATAAGTTCGAGAAACTCGTGCAGCTATATATTTGTCTCCGCATTATGCTATTTTGCTGTTCATCTGCAGTTATACTTCCCTTGGCTACATCTATTTGTTGTGGATGAAGGCCATGCATTGTAACTCATTCGGCCATGAGGGAAGCAGGCCGGCTTACCCGAGTGTACTCCTGTGATGAAGCGTCCAAGGATGACCATCGCAGGCATCCTGCACCTCCTGCTGAAGCCCATAAGAGCTCCTCCTATGAACACCAGCAGAGTGACTCTCACCAGCGTCCCCTTCCTGTGTGGAAACGTTGAACAAAGACAGTCCAAAAATAGGACGACTGTACATTGAGAGTGTGTTATACACCCCAAAATCCCCCACGCACACTAACCTTCCGTATGTGGTTACCAGTCTGCCAACCAGCAGCGCGCCCGTCATCCCCCCGATGGCAAAGATGGACACGGTGAGGGCGTACAGGACGGTGAGGAGCTCCTCATCTGGAATCCAGTCATAACGCTCCACCATTGTCTCGTTGTAGAAGTCTTTGATGTACTGGGGGAAATACATTTTTTAAGTTGGCATAGCATTGGCAAGCAGGGGCAAGAAAAATAATGTATTATAAAATAAATGTACAATATGGAATTACGACACCCTTTTTTGGGGTTGTCAAATGAATTCAGTTTTCCCTTAAATAACAAGCAAAAATACTTTTGCAACATTGAAATTGCGCCTTCCTCCAGTGGACCCAGAGCGAAAGATATGCTGGCCATGAAATTTGACATCAGCAGGACAACTAACTATTTCCCACAGTGCCACACATCAAAGTGTCAACATTAGCTTTGCCATTTGCACGGCTTTGCTTCACTCGGGACGAAGAGATGTTTGTCTCAGCGGGAGAGGCCGCCATATTGAGCAGACAGGAAGCCCATCGAGCCCCCACAGTCAAAGTCAAATCAGATTCGACGATTAGGGACCCTAAACTGCGTGCTTGATGAAATGACAGTGGTTATTCTTGTGGTGTGACAGGAACGTACGGTAATCCCTCAGATACCAGGTTTCAGGTTTATCAGACACTGAGGACTCCGCTGAGATCTTCTGGAGAACCTATTACGTTAGACACAATTCAGCCTCTCTGCCAAACAAGACATCAGAAAACGGGAGACGGACAAATAAGAGTTTAATTTGGGTGAGGTGGTGGTGGAATGAATACTGATCAACAGATTAAAAGACGAAGCGTGTTGTTTTTTTAAATAGTGTTGGTGCCGGAAGATCATTTGAGGGACCGACCCTCAAGTTCAGTGATGAAAAGAAGGGAGTGCGTTGAATCCTCAAATTGTCAAAGAACGCTGGTCAGTGTGCGTCCAATTTGTCCAAGAATGTCTCCAACACGTGCGGGGTATGAATGAACCGGCACAGTTCTGACACGTAACGGACCGGTTCATCGGCCCAACCCATAATCATTGCATTGTAACGGGCCGATGCTGGTCGAGACGGAGTTAGTTGAGGATCTTGCGAGTGAAATTAACGTACCTGCTGTGTAAAAGAAAATGCAGCTGTGGATGACAGATGCTAATGACTGTCACACAAGGATCTTTACTCGCGCTTCAAGACATAATATTTCCCCTACAGGATAAAGAATGAGTGAAAGTGTAACGTGAGATTTGAACAGTAAGCCCTGGATTACCTGCATCATGCATCAGACATGACCAATCCTCATTAAAAAATGTTTCCTAGTCACTTGTCACGGTGTGGTTTTATTTCCTGTCTTATTTTGTAGTTTTCTGCTTCTTGTCTCCCTGGGTAACTTCACTTCCTGCCTTGTCCTGTCATTCCCTGTGATTGTCTGATTGTTTCCACCTGTGTCTAATCACCTGCACCTCCCTAGTGTATTTAAGCTGTGTGTGTCTCCTGTCACTTGTCGCGTCATTGTCAATCGTCCTGGATGTCTCGTTCCTGCCTGCCTTTTCCCCCCCTGGTACCTCTATGCGTTTTCGCCCCTTGGCCTTTTGTTTATTGGAGTTTATGACTATTAAAGTCTTTTTGCTTTTGAACTCTGCATTTGAGTCCTGCCTGACAGTCACTGTCCAGTGATTCTACCTTAATTTAGCTGCGAACTGGAAAAAAAAAAACTTGTGTGAGGATATTTGTTATATTATTATTCACTTGGACAAAAGTCTCCAAGCAAGAGTCCCATTGTTTCCTGTTCTACTCTGGTTATTTTCTGCAATGGCTTAATTTGGCAGCTAGAATGGTAACCTGAAGTGTACAGCTATAGTTAAGAGGTAAGAAGTTATAATCCCATTTTATCCAACTCAAATAAAAATGATATAAATCCTTTTACATGCATTAAAGTGCATGGTCACACGAGTCGACTCTGTACACTGTTTGGTTTTCTGGAGAGAAAAAGGGCACATGGAGCACATGGGGAGACAGCAAAATACCTAGAAAGTCGACAGAGGAGAAAAAAACTCGAACTGGTAACAGAAAGAATAAAGTACCCGTTCATTCGAGCAACACTGCTGCTCGGTGCATGTTGGGCTGCAATTTAGCAAACGTGAAAGTCTAGTGATGCACAGTAATAAGCGTTCAAAGCCAACAGGAAGAGAAATTCATTTATAATCATTTCACTTCTGCTCAACATTAGCCGTCGCTTCATGATGTGCTTTGAGTCACATGACCTCCTAACCAATTAAAATGATGTGAGAAGAGGAACACGAGACGAAAAGAAGTGAAGAAGGTCATGAGTACAACGGCTGTGTCTTTCTCTCTGCTCAGCACAAAGAGCTTCCATAAGATTTCACTTATGGATGTTCAACCCAACACATTTCAATTAAAGCTCAATGATTTTTAAACAAGTAGAAAACACACTTTAGTGTTACTGTCATCCAAAGCACACTACACAGGGATAAATTATGTCAATAAATGGCAATTTCTCTGTGCTGGATCTGAAAATAAGTTCTCCATATTATCCTAAAAAGGTGATGAGGTGTCAAATAGTTTTCACTTTGATTTCTGTTGCACCCATGGGACCTAAAGAAACATTGCAGGATTCTTTAGCTTTAAAGGTAATAGTATTATTTTTACTTTGAACAGTGCCAGCCTGTTTTACCCTTCTTCAAGTCTTTAGGCTTACTCGAGCTTAGCTTAGACAGGACGCTTGCTCTTCACACACAGATATGAAAGTATTCTAACCACTGACAAAATGAACGAGACAATCCCCAGGATATTTAAAATATTGGTGTATCCAAAAAGAACCAGTAGCAAACAACAACGCCGGCTATAATGTCTGAAATTCTACATTTGCTTATCTATGTCTAACAGTGAATTAGAAAAATCAAATTGAGAGAAAGTTTTTCAACGATGTCCACTGTGCTTCACTGAGGAATGACAGTGAAAGGGTCATGGGGGCACAGCCAAACAGGAATGGTGCGGCTTAGTTACTTAGCAGACCACATGATTGTCAGAAAATGCGAGACATCAATGACGTGGTGAATCTCAAGCACCCTTTAGGTTTGATACCCTCCCCCACATGAAATGAAATACAATCAGATCTTAGCTTCTTTTTTCAGGGAATATCTGTGACTCAGGTTAGAGAGGTTGATGATGACCGAGTGATGGGAATAGTGATTTACACCATGTTGATGACGTTATGGGAACACAAACCTCTGCAGGAGAGTTGACCACTGCCAAATTGTAGCCATAGAGCATGGAGCTGCCGAACGAGGACAGGAAAGCCACAGCCAGCAGAGGCTTTGTGAGGTGCTGAGGAGAAGGTGACAAGACGAAGTCAGACAGCGGAGTGACAAAAACGGAGTATTTACTGTTATAGCGTAAATCGGTGATCTATGGACTTTACAGCAGAACTCAACAGACGCTGAGCGGCACATGACAGAATCAGAAGAAGTTGAGCAAACAGGCAGCTGGATCCTGGCATTCACGTCTAATTCTGGAAGAGGCACTTTAAATGAGCACAGAGAACGTTGAGTTTGCAGAAAAGAGAAACAACTGCTCCGATTCCCACGAGCTGAACTCAACAGCATCGAAAATCTGTTTTTTATCATGACCAAAGACACAAGATGCCCTCTGTCTTTAAAGATTACATCGGGACGGGGAAGCCCGCTGTATTTCTTTAAGAGCGGCCTGCAGCTATCGTCTTAGCTGCCACTCCAAATTCCAGCACACAGAGCTTAGCTGACCTCCAACGTAGAAGGCCGGCGGGATTAGAATGTGTTTTGGATGAACTAGGAGAACACGGGTAACAGCACCACGCAATAACCTTCAACAACTGTGATGTCTCCATCCTTTAAGAAAAAGTCAGAGTTTAAAGAACCTATTATACGTATCAGCGAGCCAATAGAAATCCACTAATGTGAAAATGTATGTTCTGACTGAACAACAACAGCATAGAGGATTTAAAGAAACCTAATTTAGCCTGAGACGACTACACGAGAAAATAGCCCACAGCGGACAATGCTGCCCTGTCTGTGTTCAATTGAGATTATCTGTTGGATGTGCAGCTCTTCACATGCTGCATCCCTATGGTGGAAGCCCAAGCTGGTTCTTCTGTTCATTGTTCCATGAGGTAACATCTGGTTTTAACCAAGATCCTGATCCAAATAGTGATACATATCTATATAGATAGATAGATGAATAGATGAATGGATAGATAGATGAATAGATGAATGGATAGATAGATATAGATAGATAGATAGATAGATAGATAGATAGATAGATAGATAGATAGATAGATAGATAGATAGATAGATAGATAGATAGATGGATGAATAGATAGATAGATAGATGGATGAATAGATAGATAGATAGATAGATAGATAGATAGATAGATAGATAGATAGATAGATAGATAGATAGATAGATAGATAGATACAATCAAATGAGAGCTCACCGAGCTGGGTTCGCCATTGCTTTCCAGAAGTAGTTCCTCCGCCATTTAAGTCATGGATAATTACTGCCCCCGTGGTCTCTGCTCGTTCCAGATGAGACGCAGCTCGTCCGTGCAACTTTTCAAACTCTGCACTTCGCATTTGTAGTTCCGGCCTTGCTGGTGGAGGCTGGTGCAGAGAGGAGGCGGGTCATGCGGACGGGCGGAATTAACAAGCTTGTCAAGCTGCCGGTCTCCAATCATCGAGGCGCATCGCGGAGCGGACCCGTCCCGGCCGTGGGTCGTTCTCCGCGGTCCATCAGCGATCACATGAGGCGAGGGGCTTCATCCTGCATCCCAAAGTGCCCACAGTTATTATTAAATAGCCTATGACTAAATGTGTCCAGAGGCGTTTTTAGGATTAGTAAAAATCAGGATCTTGGCGGGACCCGAGGGCACCTTCACCAATCTCACCACTTTGTGGTCGTTGTTCTGTTTGTTGCCGATTTTAGGATAAACTGTTATATCACAATTAAATTAAATTACTTTATTAAAAATTAAATGATTTAGTTGGTTACTTTAATTGCTTTAATAGTAATACTTTTTGTTATGATAATAATAATAATTACATATCACTGCCAACACTTTGGAGGTGTGATTTGATTTACTCACCAGTTCCTCCAAATCCACCTCTTCCTCCTGACTCATAAAAACACTGTATAATTTAGCAGATCACAATTTTCACCAATAAAGTAGCTACTTTTACTTTTTATAAACAATTATCATCTGGTAAATGTTTATCTTGCTGTATAGAGATTAATTTAAAGTAGAAGCCAATGAGACACACTTTGAATAAGTGCAGTTTCTCATTCACTTATATAACTAGCTTATTCCGTGCTTATACAGGTCATATATTGTAGTAGTTCTCAACTTGGGGGTGAAATTAATCCATTGTAAAAGAATTACAACAGCATAAATAATGAACTCTGACTGAACTAAATTCAGCTTATTCTTTGTCATTTCACAAACTGTTTTCATTTATAATAAGTTTGGACCCTTCACATCTCTGAATATTACCTTAATGTTCAGAAGTCTCCGCCCAGCACGTAGGTGGCCAGTTCTCAGGTTATTAAATTTACTTCCAAAAGTCCAACAAGTGAACTCAATAAGGACTGGTTTCATCCGATATGCTTTCCATCACTTCCTTACACATGACTGCCTGCGTGCGTTCCAGTGTCTCGTCCCCTCTTAATGGGCCTTTGGTCACAGTGTCTCCTGCTTCACATATGATTTCAGAGACAAATGTTTTTGTAATCGCTCAAGCCTTTTGACCCCCCCTCCACATTTAATGTAACAATATTTTATGTGTAAATGAGTGATTTTCTTTCTTTACTTTTATACCACAACTGAAATTCTCCACAACACATTATGTAGATCTGCTTTATACGCTGCCTCCATTGACCTTCCCCTCGCTGCTGCGATTTCTATACACTATATACATTCTATACCCATCAGCAGTGTCCTCGTAAGTGAACATTCTGACTTGGGATCCTGACTTTAACCCAACGAGCCAAGTTGAGACGACGTGGAACTCAAGTGGTTTGTATCATATGACTCCTCCTGTGAAATGTCCCGGGCATCATGCTGCGTTTGTGTAAAGAATCAATTATGCTGCGGAGATGGACGCAACTCACAGGGCTGACACAATGAAAGTACAAACTCATCAGTGCAATGGAATATTCTGAGGACAGGAAGTACACAGAGGAAAGACCTGCTGTTTCACAAATGACTGCATGGTTATCAACGTATTATTTGAATTATGGCAACCAATTCACAACACAATTTGAATCATACAACCTTTTTTAGAAAACATTAACAATATAATTGATAACAGAGAGCTCAATAGCTTCATTACTCACTTAACAACTGCTGTACCTTCCAATAGCGACACCAAATGATTAGTATGTCAGAAGAAATATTTAGTATCAAATTCAGTGTGCCAATAAATACAAGGATGTCCCGCTGCCTGCGGTCGCATTTTGCAGTACTCAAGACAGCATGCTGTTCTGGATATTCTGATGCACAATTCTCTGACTCACAACTAGTGTATGAGCAGATGTCAAAGTTTGAGCTGCAGAATTACAATAAAGTAGTATTTCCCAATTAAATGCACTACTTTGTATGGCTTGACATATGCGATTTGAAACCCAGTGTTAGTATGCAGCTTATAGTTGCTGGTTAGGTGGTTGCATGCAGAAGGATGTATTGAGGTAACTGTGAAAAAACATCCATTAACTTTACTTTCCTGTTACCATTATTATTCACTCAGTCCTTCGGTGATACCAATGACCCACGGTGGTCACCTGTGTATAACCATTATAAGTCTTCACCTTTACGTCATAACAACATTTCTTCTGCCTTTATTATCATGCTGAGGAACTGATATAATTGTATATGTGCTCATCAACACGATTATTAGATGAAAAACCAAAGAGAGAACTCAATGCTTCAATGAGCTGAAATAAACGAACGTCTTGCTGTCATCAGATACAAGGGGGGACTTCGCATGGCTTGATCAGGATCTGGAACTACATGATTTAATTTCCTCTCTCACTAGTGAATAAGATGTTATTTGATACATTTCCCATCAATACATGTGCAGGTATGTGAAAATAGTTCTGTGTGCAGTTTGTGAGTACATTTTATATGCTCCAGAATAACCTCACATTAGCCGCCCGTTATTTCAATAAACCTCCTCTTGCGTCTCGTTGACAGATCATCTGCCCAGAAAAGCAGATATTGTGGCCTTTAATCAGTCAGCCCCCTCCAAGCCGCCGTAGTCTCTTGTGCAGTATTTAAATTCCTCATTTACTCAGTTGCAGGCGGGACGTGCCTGTCCCCCATTGTTCGCTCTGAATAAACTGGGGAGCTGATCGTGTTAAGTGTGGCCGTGATTGATGGCTGCTGAAGAAATCTAATATACTCGCCCCATGCCATCGTTTGGCAGAAATAGGATCATGGAGAAAGACTTACATGAGCTGATTAAAGGCAGAAATTGAACTTAATGTTCCTTCCTTTTCTTATTTGTGTGTGTTTTTTAGGACATTAACCGCTGGGCTTCTAGGTGAGTGTGATGAAAATGTGTTGGGGAAATGAAGTGTGCATCTACGAGTCAGGTCACAGTTTATAGATTTAAACCCCGTGAAGTGGAGTGACTGTCATCAACCGGGCCTCCACGCCACGCTTATTGTTTTTACAATCCTAACCGCAGCTTAACATTATCTCCCCTGTGCTCGTGCTCACCCCGGCCCGGTCCATTCCAGGAAAATACTGAATTTTCATGGTTGCATGCATATCCCGTTCGTTCATGTCTGGCTGATAACGGCGACGTGATTTCTGTGATGCAGCTGCTTCATTTGCGAGAGGAGGAGCGCTGGAGGATTGTAGAGGGGGGAGATTCTGGTGACCCCTTGTGGGACTCAAGCTGCACTTCATGATGACTCGATAACTGACTACGGACTTGAAAGAAGGGGGTACTTCTATGTTCACTTTGGTTTAACGTTGTTAGCTGCACTCGTAGGGGTTGTAGCTAACGCAGGCATGGACACACAGGCAGGTAAATGGACAAATCCTTTGGCAAAACACACACACACACACACACTCAAGAGCTCACTTGAAGCATCCATAAGTCTCAGCATCACCCTCTGTCTCTCATCTCCTTCCTCCTATGCTCCTTTATGCACATCACAGCGGCATTAGCACTTGATTTGGGTGTAATGGATCTCCCTCCTCCCCTTTCCCGCCCGTTCCCATTGGCTGCGGCTGGCCTCCGGCCCGGCCCACCTGCTCCACGGCGCTCCCCTTAATGTGACTGGCCGAGGATGATGGATCACCCCCTGTCACTTCCACCTCCTCCTCCAATCAACAACCAGCCATGGAAATTGATTGTTCTAATTTGCTCTCATTATTATTATGATATTAAGCACAATATACAGACGCAGCTCACTGTCAGATCTGGGCAACGGCGTCATTAGTTACAGGGGCTGGAGAATACGCCTCGGCGGGGTTTTCTCCCACAGACGCCAAGATGTAAAGGAATCAGCGAGCGTTGGAGAAACACACTGCTTTTTCTTAATAAGATTTGCCATGCAGCCCCTCACTGAGGTGATGTAGCATCTAATTAAGTTCAATGCGTTGCCGCTGAAGGAGATATGATTAAGTTCCTCCGTGCCAGATGCAGCGAGTTCTCGTGCAGCTGCTGGATCGGAGGAAATGGGAGGTGCAAGAGTGAGAAAACACTTGTCCTTACATCTGCAATGACTGCAAATGTTACCAACCCACGGTTATTAAATGCTGCTTAGAAAATACAATCAAGACGCACGACTGTTCATTTTCACGAGGAACGGGGCTGAATAGCAATGAGGGCATGCAATTAAGGAAGCATCCCACGCAAGTGCAACCTCACTTCAGGAAAACACTGGTAGCATATTCAATGTACTGCACGCCGAATACGTTCAATGACTTTGTAGATTGTGGTTTTTAATTCTTCCCACTCTCCTAAAAGCTCTTTTGTCTTTATCACCAGGCCTGAAGAGGTAGACCACTTGAAGGTCAGCAGTAATATGAGCGATACCCGCCCCCTCTCCCTCCAACTCCTATTACAGCCCCTCCCGCTGCTCCGATGTTCCTCAGACCCTGTGTATCCCTGGCCGTGCTAGCCCAGAGCATATCGGATAGTGCTTACATTAACACGCAGTGTCTAACAAACCGCTTACGCGCCTTTAATTGGATTACAAGGAGTGCTGCATTCCCATTGGTGAAATTAGGGGGGTCCGGGCACAGAGCCTGCTCCCCTCCCCTGCTTGAGCGAGAGATCTGATACGCTGTCCTCCCTAACGACCTGCAAAATGCCAGGTGTTCGATTGGTGGAGTGGCGCCGGCAGGGTTGTTTATTGGTCCATGACAGTGTAATAAGAGGGGATGCCAAGCCGACTGTCAAGGCGTTTTAAGTGTCTGCTCTGATCTAGTGTTGATTAATGAGACTATGTATTTATTTACTGGCCTTAAATACAGTTTGTGGAGCTAGTATTCTTTAAGTAGATTTAAAGGTTATCCTTGAAATATAGTAGCAGCATTTATTAAACAAATACTTTTGTCTGAAATAAAAAAGCTGTATTGGTCCTCTTTTGTTTATCTTGTAAATGCGACACACTCTGTAAAGAGGTGGTTGAACTACGTGTTTTCTAATAATTTTCCAAGGGCGAAAGCAGCATACAGGTGTTATATTTGAATCAAACTTGTAAAAAATATAATAATGCAGGTTAAGGCTAC